CTGAAAAATCCCCCCCTTCCTGGTTTAAGAAGATAATAGTGTATTATCGCTCTGAAGCCATTAGATGGCAGATAAAAAGCCCCCTTTTAATATGTGGGTTTGATTTTTTTTTTTTAAAGCCCACACGAAAGAGGAGGGCACAAGGCAAAAGCTGTAAAGAGTTATTCCAGAACCTGTGGAAATTTTTTAGGGCAATAAAACAAAACAAAACAAAAACAAAAAGCCTCAGTTGATATCTGCACATACAGGAGGTCAAGATTCCTGAGAATACAAGAGTATTTCCTATCCCTCCCCAGCACCAGCAAAATATACAGTAATTAATTCAGATGATGTATACAAAATTTTGACTTTATAGGGTACAGTTATGATGCTGCTAAAAGCCCATTTTTCCATGCTTGTGGTATACATATGTGTACTAATTTTTCCCAGTATTGGTATACATGTGTGGGTACTTGTGTAGATATTTCTATGATCAGTTTCTGGTTCAAACCTAGAGCTCATCGTGTGGTTATTTCTTCAAGCCAGAGGTCTCTAGGGATACCTGGTCTCAGTCTTCCAAGCCTGGAGTTACAGGGGGCACCACACCCAAATCACATTTTAGTGGGATTTTGGGATCTGAACTCCAGTACAAACACTGGTGCAGAAAGGACTTTCATTGCTGATTTATCTCCCTAGCTCCTTGTGCATCTTGGCTTTTCCATTTTGGTACAAACCTAAATATATTTGCTGAGGGAGAATGGCCAGCTTGTAGTTGGGTTTCTGTGGCATGTTCTTGATGACTGATTGATGTGGGAGTGCCCAGACAGTGCTGGGTAGTACCAACCCTAATGAGTGGGTTTCAGAGTATATATAAAAAAGGTAGCTGAGCAAATGTACATTGCAGTATAATGATAAGTTGCTTAGCTTTTCAAGCCTAATGGTTTGCTTGTCATGGCTTTATTTCCCATGACTCAGTCACTCATCTATATACACAGCTTGGCTAGAAAATCAGTTTTTGGGGTGAAAAGTGAAATCCTCAAAGCACATATTGATTTCTCTTTTGTCTGTCAACTAGGTAATTAAATTAATTGTCCAGTCTTTAAGTTTTGTGATCGCCTTGTGACTCTGACATGTGTGAGGTAAACACATGCTTCTAGGCGACAAATTAGCATATAACCTTCCAGTTAATGCCCATGATTCCCACACTGGAAGTCAGCAATGTGATGCCACCACCTTCTCTCTATCACACACTTAATTTTTTTGAGACGAGGTCTGGTATTCCAGACTAGCCTTGAACTTACTAATTAACCAAGACTGACCTTGCATTTCCAGGTCTGCCGTCTGCTGGGGGTTCCAAGTGTTCACCCCCATGTCTGGTTTATGTGGCGCTCGGGAGAGAAACCAGGGATCTGTACATGGGAGGGGAACACTATCAACTGAGCTACATCCCCAGCCATATTTTATTTTTTGAGACCCGGTCTTGTTATGTAACATCAGCTCAGGATAGTCTTGAATTTGTCACGTGGCTCACTTAGACTGGCCTTAAATGGAGGATCCTCCTGTTCCATCTCCATCTATCCTGATGGTCCATCAACCAGCTGCTTCCACTCTGTGCTTGTGGTAACATTCACTGACTAAATAAATGAAGCTTCACTGAAAAGCCAATTATTGGATGTGGCCCAAGGTGGGAATCTTGTAATTTCAGCTCTGAGCCACAGGTGGACAGGGACTTTTTATCAGGCCTTCACCACTGGTATATTTTCAACTGATTCCCTACTTGGAAGGAAGCAGACTCAGTGGGGAAGAGCCAGCTGATCAAGTAGACTTTTAGTATACCATGCCAAAAAAGAAAAAAAAAAAAACAAAAAAAAAAACAACCCCAAAAGGAAGTGTTTTGCCTGATGTATCTGTGTGCATCAGATGTGGGCCTGGTGTCCTTGGAGGTCAGAAGAGAGCATTGGCTCTCCTGAAACTGGAGTTAGTGAGCTGCTATAGGGGTGCTGGGAATCAAACCAGCATCCTCTGGAAGAGTAGTAACTGCTCTTAACTGCTAAGCCATATAACTCTAACCCCACAACCAAATGTGTGTGTGTGTGTGTGTATACATACATACATACATACATACATACATACATACATACATATATATATATAATATTTTTGAGACAGGGTTTCTCTGTGCAACAGCCCTGGCTATCCTCGAACTCAAAGAGATCCACTTGCCTCTGGGATTAAAGGTATGCACCACCACTGCCTGACTTTAGGTGGGACTGTGCTCAGGTGACTTGCTGAGACACTGAATGCCAGGACAGCTTGCTTCCTTCATAAAGGTCCTTAAGTCATCTCGTCTGCCAACTCCCCATCACTAGGCTTGGCCAGCCAGCTTTCTAGGTGTTGTCTTCCCAGTAAGCCAGCACAAGATGCAAAACCACCACTGTTTGAAATGCACGAATCCCAGTGTACTACAAAAAGAGGGCCTCCATAAAACTCCTGGGGCTGGACATGGCTTAGACTTTTTCCACCTCTTCATTCTACTACTGAATGAAAGGAATGCCCTCTGCACACCCATTCTAGATGACTGAACTAAGGGCTTTAAGCTTGCTAAGTAAACACATGTTGGCTGAGCCACGTCCCCAACTCCCAGCTGGCTGATTTTAGCCAAGTGCTATATATATCTCCCAGCACTTGTTGAACTTTTAAGTTTTAAGACAGGGTCTTTCTAAGTTTCCCTTGAACTTACCCTTTATCTCAGGCTAGCCTTAAACTTTCTCTCATCAGCTTCCTGAATAGCTGAGGTTACAACCTGTGCTGGACTTGATTGAGGGAGTGTGGGTTTGGCTCAAGATATGAGAACCTCAGGGTAGTTGTTTACCTGGTCCATAGTTACTTGTTTTTGCTAGAGTGAAATCAGAACCCCATCCTAAAGGTTTGTTTGTTTATTTTTGAGATTGGATCTCTCTACACAGCCCTGGCTGTCCTGGAACTTACTATGTAGACCAGGCTGGTATTGAACTCATAGAGATCCACCTACCTCTGCCTCCCCAGTGTTGGGATTAAAGGCATGTGCCACTATGCTTACCTTTTTATATTAAATGGCTTTATTTTGTATGAGTGTTTTGCCTGCATGTATATGTGTACCACATGAATGCCTGGTGCCCATGTAGACCAGAAGAGTGTTAGATTTCCCAGGAACTGGAGTTACTGACGGCTTCGAACCACCATGTGGGTGCTGGGATCTGAACCTGGGTACTCTAGAAGAGCAGTCAATTCTCTTAACTGATGAACCATCTCTACAGCCCCTGTCCCGAAGATTTTAAAGCTGTGATTCAGAAAGGCGAGGTTCTGATAGATCCCCAGAAATATCCAGGTATAACAGCTTTCCTAGGGTAGCTTCAGGAACTTGGACTGGAGGACCAGTCCCTGGTGCTGTGATGGGAAGTTGGGTCTGCTCATAATCTGTTTTCAAGCTTCATGGCAGCAAGGGTGCCAGTGAGGTGATCACCCATTTCTGCTCTGCCCAGACAGGAGATGGCAGGTTAGGTGGGCAGCTAAGCTAAATCTTACAAATAGGATGCAAGTATGCTGGGTTTGAAGTTGGTCTCTGCTATTTACTAGCTATACAACTTAGATAAATAAACGTGGACTTTTGAGTTACTTGCTTTCAAGCTTTCTTTCTAAGACAGGGCCTTACTATGTAGCCCAGAATGGGCTAGAACTACCTACCTCAGCCTCCCAAGTGCTAGGTTTACAGGTCTGTACCACCATGCCAATTCTTACAGGACCTTTGAGGTGAGAGAAGGCCTGCTCTGATTGTTAAGGCAGAGGTGAACGGGCTGGAGGTGGCAAAAGGGTAGTACAGGATCTGGCCTTATCCACCAGCCTCCTTGGTGAGTGTATATGTAGAACTTTTCTTGGTAAAATAGAACTGGTGATCTTGTGCTTGAGTACTGGTTGGAGGACATACATTTCTTTATATACTTCTGGAGATAGGGTCTTACTCTATAGCCCAGGTTAGACTCAAACTTTCCATCCCTCTGTCTTGTAGATACTGCCATTAAAGGTATACAGTCCTATTCCTGGCACTGTCTTTTAAATTTTAACTTCTTTTCTTGAGTGCTAGTGATGGTACACAGGGCCTTGTACTCAGCTCTACCACTGAGCTCTACTGCTGTAGCCCCAGATTTGACACCTAGAAAAGCTGTACAGAAAAGGATGCTTGAGGGATGTGGGGATTTAAGCAAGGTCTTGTCCATGGTAGATAAGAACTGTACCACTCTCCCAGCTCCTCACTGGATTCTAGACAAGACCTCTATTGCCAAGCACACTTGAACGTAGGCCAAATCTGAATTATCTTGTTCTTGGTTTATTTTAATTTGCTTTTTGCGTGTGTGTTACATGTGTGGAAGTCCGAACAACTTGCAGGAGTCAGTTCTTTCCTTCCACATGTGGGGTCAGGGATCAAGTTTAGGTAGTCAGGTTTGGTGGCAGGCACCTTTACCTGCTGGGACATCATACCAGACCTCAGCTTTCTTCTAAAAAAGACCCTTAGGGCTGGATGTGGTGGTGCAGGCTTTTAACCCCAGTTCTTGGGAGGTAGAGGCAGGCAGATCTCTGGGTTTGAGGCCATCCTGATCTACATAGCAAATTCTGGGCCAAACAAGGCTACATAGTGAGACACTGTCTAAAATGATGATGGTGACACTACTGTCAAGGTGGGCCAGCAGAGAGCACTCTGCACACAGATCTGACAAACTGAGTCCATCCCGGAATCCCATAGGTGGTCGGAGAGAAATTAGTCCTGAGAGTTGTCCTCTGACCTACACATAACTCCACATTGCATGCTTACACACATCAAATAATAAGTTTCCTCACTTCCTGGAGGAGGGCAGCCATGTGGGACAGTAGCCTTCTTACCTAGCTGTTCACATTGCACAACAATGTTTTGGCCTTGGGTCTACCTTCAGGGACCAAGGGCCATGCTATGCTCTGTTGGGTGGGTTCTCATGGGTCTAGGCTTTGGAGCTCTTGACAGGGCTTTACCTGTAATTATGGAACCAGTTGATGACGGTGCTGGTCTTCAGGTTGAGTTGTGTGGCAAGCTCCTCGATCGTTTTTGGTGACGGGTATGGCTTTGCTGGAGCCAGCACCACTCGAGGTTTCTTCAGCTGGTGTTGTGGCTGGGGGCTGGCGCCTTGGCTATAGTCAATGCCCACAGAGGGGGGCTCACAGGGCTGACTGTCACTGACAGAGCTGTGTCGCCGCTTCATGTAGGCTGCACGGGGAGGGAGAGAGAGAGATCGAGCAGGTGAACTCAGGGACAACTAGGAAACCAGCTCAAAGCCTCAGCTCTGGGAACAGAGCAGTGTGATGGAAAACCTAAAAGCTGGGTATGGTGGGGCACATATGCAATCCCAGCAGTGAGGAAGCTGAGGCAGGAGGATCATGAGTTTGAGGCCAGTCTTGGCTACAAAAACCAAATAGCTGGGGTGTAGCTCAGTGGTAGAGTGCTTGTCTAGCAGATATAATACCCATGTTTAAGCCTTAGCACTCAAAACTAAACAAAATACCCACCCCTAATAAAACCTTGCAGTGGAACCGTATTGTCTGTCCTCAGCATATACTGAGGCCCACTCTAATGTCATGTGGGTTCCAAACTATTCCTTCCCAACCTGACAGTTAATTAAGGACTGTAGAAAGATCCAGCTTGATGACTATACTGGTGTCAGGGACACTTAGGCACCTGAAAGGGGCACTAATGGAGGTCACTGGACAGAGCTTGGAAAGGGCTGAGAGACTTTCCAAAAGAGAGGATATTCCAAGGTCATCTTGAAGGATGATGCCGAATCAACTAGAAAATACAGGCTCTGGCATAGAAGACAGCAGGAGGCTGTTTAGAAAATGGAAACCTAAGCCAAGGTGGTGAATGTTCACAATACTAGTACTTGAGAGGTTGAGGCAGGAGGATCAGGTGCTCAGGGTCATGTTTGGCTACATAGATAGTTTTGGCCAGCCTGGACTATGTCAAGAGAAAAAGAGTGGGGAGAAGCGAAAAGAAAGGAAGGAAGGAAAAAGAGGAAGAAAGGGGAAGGAAAGCAACAGTAATTGAAGTCAATGACTGAGACAAGAGTTATATCAACAGCCCCCAGCATATCATCACAGGACATCCCCAGGGAGAAGCCAAAAAGGGCCCAGAGGGGACATGTGGACAGCCAGGGGCTAACGGTGTTATAGAAAGGGCTGGACAGCCAACAGCATCTAACACCATAGGGAGGGCCAGGCTGGACTTCAGGCTTGGTAATATGGGGAAAAATAAAGCCCAGAGAATAAGAGATGATCGATCCATGGAGTTGGACAGCAAAGGAAAGTGGCTGGCAGGAAAGGAGAAGCAAGGGTGGTCAGTGAAGTTGCTATGTTGGGAAGCTGAAGTAAAAAAATAGGAATTGCTCTGGGGAGACAGAGGGAGAAGTGTTGTCAGTTCAGGGTCATGTCAGGCTACACAGTAAGACCTAGTCTTAAAAAACGAGAGAAAGGGAGGGAGGAAGGGAGGGAGGAAGGGATGGAAGGAGAAGAGAAGGGGAAGGGAGGGGATGAAAGGCAGGAAAGGGAGAGGAAAGAAAGGAAGAAATGAAAAGCAAGACATGTGGCTTCCAGAGGATAAGTCCAGGGCTAGGAGTGGCTTTTCAATGAGTGACTTACATGAGTGTGGTTCTGGTAGAAAATGAGTTTGCCACACACTATCCCTGCGTTTGATCCCAAACCATTCCCCACAATGATAAGGAGCAAGCTCTAAGCTGAGGAGAGATACTGTGGACAAAGCACTGGGGAAGAACCCGAGTGACTAGACTGAGGCAGGCTCCTGAGCCTGGAGGAGGAAGGACAGATGGAAACAGATGGGGTCGTGGGATAGAGGTAGTCCTACTGATGTCTGTCTGTAGGAAGCAGAGGCTGGGGAAGGCAGGTGATGGGAAAGAAATACTAAGAAGGGGATGGGGAGGGAGGCCCATCAGGACTGTGGAGTGACACTGGGGACCCCACAGAAGTTAAAGGCACCAGTCTGTTAGAGATGGTCTAGGCCCAATTGAGACTCCAGAGGCACTCAGTAGCCTAGCGGGAGGAGAGGAGTGTGGCTGGGACACAGCACTAGCAGGGGTACTCAGGGCTGGAGGAGTGGGAAGATACTTGTCGAGAAGAGCACCATGGCCAGAGAAGAGGAAGGTGACACTAGAAATCTAGGGGCCATCCTAGGTAAGTGGAGCAAAGAGAGAAAGGTGGCAGGATATAGGATGGCTGGGGAATCAGTGGTCTGAGTTTAGGATCTGGACAGTGGAAAAATTTGGGTTGGTAACAAGGTCAGGCCAAAGTTGAGGAGGAGGTCAAAGAATTTGATACCTGGGTGCTGGACTAAAAAGGAAGATTGTCCATGTGGGTCACTTCCTGGCTGTGGCAGGGCAGGGCAGGGCAGTATGTACAGTGAGTATAGTGCTAAAGATGTCAGATTCCTTGGGTCTTGGGTTACATACATCAGTCACGAGGGTGCTGGGAACCCAGTGAGGTCCTTTTTAAGAACAGCAAATACTCTCAAGAACTGGGCTGCTTCTCCAGTGTCTTCCTTTTAGTTTTGAGGCACGGTCTCTCACTGGTCTGGCATCCATCTAATAAGTTCGGATGTTTTTCCAGGGAGCCTGTCTTTCTGTCTCCCTTATGTTGGAATCACAAGTACATGCCTGCCTTTTTTTTTTTTTTTTTTTTTAAGGACAAGATCTTTCTAGATAGCCCTGGTTGTCCTGGAATTTACTATATTGCTATGTAGAGCAGGCTGGCCTTGAACTGCAGAGATCCACCTGCTTCTGCCTCCCTGTTGGGAATAACGGTATGTACCACCACACTCCACTCCTTTTTTATTTAAAGTGTGTTCTGGGTCTGAAACTCAGGTCCTCTTGCTTGCAAGGCAAGCACTTTACTGAGTCCTGGTAAGCATGGAACTAGCTATGAAGCCTAGGGTAGCCTGGAACTCATGATCCTCCTGACTTGGATTATAGATAGGTGTCTCCATACCTGCCACTGTTTCAAAGGAATACAAATTAGTAATTCTTACTTAACGCATAACTACCTGACTACCTTCTACTGTTTCTAACCCTTGCCCTCTGGAGAGGTTGGTATTTTCATCATCTTTGGTTGCAGGGAGAACACTTTATGCTGGGCAGTTACTGAACTCTTCTATTTTAGAAAACTATTGAGAAGGTATATCCTGGGGGTTGGGGTGTGGCTCAGTGGAGGACTCCATTCCCAGCACTGCATAAATGTGGTGGTGGGTGTCTCTAATCCCAGCACTCCAAAAGCTGAGCCAGGATCACTAGGAACCCAGGACAGCCTGGGCTACATAACGAATTGAAGATAGAGAGAGGATGATAAACAGACTGTTATATATATGAGAGAGATGGACAGAGGGAATGGGGGGTGGTGAGGAGAGGAGAGACAACCTCTAGAGCAGCAGTTCTCAACCTGTGGCTCACAGCCTCTTTGGGGGTTGAAAGGTCCATTCACAAAACACAGATATTTATATTCTGGTTCATAATAGTAGCAAAATTACAGTTATAAAGTAGCAACAAAAATAATTTTATGGTTGGGAATTACCACAACATGAGGAACTGTGTTAAAGAGTTGCAGCGTTAGGAAGGTTGAGAACCACTGATCTAGATGCTCAGGATGTGACAGTTATCACAGGCACCCAGGGGAGGAGGGCCAAGCAATGGCACCTGCTATGTTATTGGCAGGTCAGGTGTCCAGTTGCCTGAGAAGGCTGGCAATGGCTTCCCTCTCTAGTAGCCCTAGCTTAACCGCCATTCTAGGAACCTGGGATGCCCTGGGTGTGAGCTCCATGGAGACAGTGACACTTTTGTGACACAAGATGGCACCAGAGCCCATGTGGAAGGAAGGTGGAGGCCTCAAAAGCCTGGAGCTTTGGGTTGGGGAAAGGGAAAGGGAAAGGGAAGAGAAGATGAACAAGCCTCTATGTGGGACATCTGAAGGCACAGGGTTGCAGGTGGCCAGGTGTCTGTCCCACCTGTGGCGGCTGGTTTTGGCTTTGACAGGAACTGGGACACTTTACTAATATCTGGATAAGCACTGTAAACTGCTGAAACTCAGCAGCAGTTTTGCTAGCTTCTTTTGCTTGTTTTCTTCTTCTTGAGCTAGGGTCTCACTAAGTTGCTCAGTCTGATCTACTCACTCTGTAGCACAGGCAGGCCTTGACTATATACTCTTCCCTTCTAAGATTTCCTCAGACTCACTATGTAGCAAAGATGACCTGGAACTTCTGATCCTCCTGTCTCCACTTCCTGAATTCTGGGATTAAAGACAGGTACTACTTCCTTGGTTTACGTGGTGCTGGGGATGGAACCCAGGGCTGTGTGCATGCTAAGAACTGAGCTATAGCCTATCCTCCTGTCTCAGCCTCCCAAGTGATGGCTTTAAAGACCCATGCCCTATTCCTGACTTGTCTATTGGTTCTTCATATTATTCTTCAAATTGTTTTCTTGCAATTTAACATAGTAAGTTAAAAAACTGGGAAGTCACTAGGCTTTTCAAGTATGTGGTGTTACCTGGAGCTGCCCTGGAGGCTATGGGCCTGGGTCCATTTTAGGATGGACCATAACCAGTTGAAGTGGCCCTTGATGGGTGGAGAGCATATTGCTGATGGGCAGAATCTTCATGAGGTCCCAGTGCGGCAGAAGTACCTTTCTTCTGGCGTAATGGTACCAACAATCACAGCTTTCCTCCCAGCTCCCAGAGCAGGAATAGAACCCAGGGCTTTATACTCTACCACCCAGGCTATACCCCAACCTCTTCTTTACAGGTATGTACTATCATGTCTGGTTCAAAAGACATGTTTTTCTTTCTTGTATTTCCCCCAGTACTGGTGGTTGAACCCAGGTCTTATACCTGCCAAGCAAGCACTCTACAAACTAGCTACAATCTCAGCCCATCACTTAATGAGCTCTTTAGTATCTTCACAGGCCTTTAGCATGAGGTATACACACAGTAGATGATGTAACAGATGTAATAAATGAGCTAAAAGGCAGCCAGCAAATGTGCCATTACCACAGACTATGATGTGCCCAAGGGTTACAAGATCTTTATTTATAGACTCTTGGCCACAAAGAGGGACATGTCTCCCATGTCCTTTTAGCTACTCATTAGCTGGTACTTGTCTAAACTATGGTGCCCTTGCCTTACAGAGCCCTGGAAAGGGATGAGGGACCCATGTTCCCCCATCTCTGTGGGAAGACTTTCAGAAAGGGCATATGTGTGAATGAGATGGCTGGCGCTTGGGTAGCAGAAGGTGGGCAGGTACCTTTCTTCTCCATCCGCTTCATGTCCATCAGCTTCTCCACATTGTTGGGGTCATTCAGCCAAAGCTGCATGCGGACAAAGGGTTCTCGTCCTTTCAGACTGAGCTTATGCCAGGGCTTTGGGCGGGCCAGGAGGTCGGAGACAGAGCCCTGGGTGAGCCCCAGGATGGTCTCTCCAAATAAGCGCTGACCTGGAGAGTAGATGTGAGAGATGATCACTGACAAGACAGGGGCAAGCAGGTGCCACATCGTCCAGTGACCCACAGTCTAGCCTGCTGAGGTCTAGCCTACAGCAACACTTTGTAGAAATATTTCTCTTTAGTTTTTACAGGCTGGAGATGGAACCTAAGGCTTTGTACATGTTAGTGTCTATTTTTAAGCCACCCCCCCCCCCCCCCGGGGGGGGGGGGGGATTCTAGGCAGGTGTTCCATCTCTGACCTACAACTTCAGTACTGAACCATTTCCTTCACTTGTTTCCTAACCGAGGAGGTGGGGTGGCAGCTGCCCAACTCCCACAGGCAACTTTCAATCAGAGGCCAATTGGGTGTCTTTTTATCATTAGCAAGGCCAAGGGTCTTGCTGAGAGAACAGGCACTTGACCCCTGGGTCACAGTGGGAGGCAGAGGAGTCTGGTCGATTTGGGCTGGAAAGGCTCATGGCTGTGCTGCCTCTGCTTAATGTGGCTCAGAGAAGACCAGATTTTCCCTGGAGCCCTGTCTTCTTCCAGGCAGTATAAGCCATCTGCCTTAGGCTGATCACAGGGCAGGTGGCTATGGAGGGCGCAAGAGCTTCCAAAACTGCACTGTGTCCAGGCTTAAAAGAAGGGCTTGAAGACCATGCACAAGCATGAAGACCTGAGTTAGATATCCAGCACTCATAAAAGGCTGGGCACAGTGCTGTGTGCCTACAATCCCTGGAATGGGGAGGGGGAAGGCAGGAAAATCCCTGCAACTCAATGGTCAGCCAGTCTAGCCCTAACAGTATGCTCCAGGGTCACTGAAAGATCTTGTCCCAAAAACTAAGGTAGAAAGGGTCTGAGGAAGACAACCCACATGAACTTCTGATCTCCATGTGTGCAAACCATATGCACACACACACACACAAAGATGAAAGCCTTTCCTCTGCGTGGTGGGGAAAGGGCTGCCATTCTTAAAGCTGTATATCAGAATCTATTATGACCCACGTGGACTGATGGGAAAAGCTTTAAATGAACAGACGCTACTGGGTAGAAGTGGAGATTGGGATCAGAAAGGCTACCATGTGGTCCAACACAACATGTGGGACATAGGACGCTAGGCAGAGATATGGAGGCTGGCCTATCATATCAAAGAGATATGATGCTATCTGTGGTAATGTCTTCACCTGTGAGCTGAAAACACTATAGGGATCATCCAGAGAAAATGATGTGGCTCTATATACTATAAATATGGTTGACTGTGTAGCCAAATTTAGTTTAGGGGGGCTATGCCCCATTTTAACTTAAATTTACTAGGTTAAGGGTGTGGCTCAGCAGTAGTAGAGCATTTGCCTAGAATCCCCCCCCCCCCCCCCGGGGGGGGGGGGGGGGCCCAGGGGTTGAATGAACATGCCAGGATCCAAGGTTAAGTTGAGAGTGCATCTGGATTTTGACCAGGGATCATCTGTTTCCTGATGCAGCTTGACACTGGCCACTCTGTCTCCACAGCTACATTCAGGGTCTTGTGGGAAGGCAGATAACTTTCCCCACAAGCCTTAAGACCAGTTAAAGCCACCAAGGGAGTTTTGATTGCTAAGCCCAGGTGATGGGCTACAGGCTTTTTTGGAAGTTTTTCTGGTTAATGACTGGTCCTATGCAGCACTGGAAAGTTCTGTAGGCCAGCAGGGTACTGCTCTAGCTGCATGTCATATATGCCAACTAACTCTCCAGTAGGAATGGGAGCTGCTTAGCCAAGGAGGAGGCTCCGGGGTTTGGCATCTCCAAACTGTGATCTTACAAGTTGGTGGTTTGAAAGGAGGTTTTTCTTCTGCTGTTCTCAATGTTTACATGGAAGGATGCTTTCTACTGGGAGTGGGTAGCAGGAGTAATCGGCCTGCTTCCTTGGACTCGTGACAAGTCTGTAAAAAAAAAAAAAAAAAAGTGTAGGACTCCTTCCACATTTCAATAACCGATGAACATATGGGCTGTGGGCTGTTCTCAAATCAGCAGCTAAATTTTCATCTTTTTATGAATGAGCAGTTACATTTGTTCTCAGGGGATGTTCCTTTTTACTGTGTTCTGTTTTGTACAATACATTGAACAAATGGGATGTAGGGGACTCAAGATGATGGTTGGGCCTGACTCCAGACTGGCAGACTTCACTGAAACTCAGTAGCAACTTGTGTTGTGTGTATGTGCGTGCGTGCGTACGTGCACGCACGCTCTCGTGTGCGTGTGCATGTGTGTGTGTGTGTGTGTGTGTATGCTCATGTCACAGGATAACTTGTAAGAGTAGGTTCTCTATGTATACTCTGTGAGCTTCAGGAATTGAACTTAGGTCATTAAGTTTAGCAGCAAGTGCCTTTACTTCTGAGCCATTTTTCTGGCTCTCACAGTTCTGCCATTGGCCTGGACTTCAGCAAGATTGGCTGGCTGACTAATGAACCCCAAGGACCCTGCTGTCCTCCCTGACATAAGGATTATAAACATGCCACCATGTTTGGCAAGTTTTTGTTTATTTGTTTGTGTTTTTAAAGACAAGGTTTCTCTACAGAACTCACTCTGTAGACCAGGCTGGCCTCAAACTCACAGAGATCTGTCTGCCTCTGCCTCTGCCTCCTGAGTGCTGGGACTAAAGGTGTGTGCTGACACTGCCTGGCTCAATGCTTGGCATTTTTTATGTGGACTGTGAGAATTGAACTCCGTGCTACATGGCAAGCACTTTACAGACTGAGCTGTCTCCAGCCTCAACAACAGTTGTTCCGCTTGTCTTGTTCTGTCACGGGAAAGGTGAGATATGCAGGTCCACCAGCAGGTACTGCATGTCCAGACATTCTGTGGGGCTGCCTCAGTGTGCTCCTTTCATTGACATTCTCACTTGGGACTCAAGAGGACACATGACCTGCAGAGAAGCTGCAGTTTTTCTTGCCATGCCTGCCCAGGAGGGTCTGCCTCATCAATACAACTCTGAGGAATCATGATGATATAACAATCCCCTAATATTCTTGGGGTCATAGCAGATCCTATCCAGCAGCAACAGAGAGCCTCATAAAACCACTTCAGGCAGAGCCCAGGTTAGCTACAACATGTGTAAGGTACATGGTCCGTGGTTGAGACTATGATAGGGTGATCAACTCAGTACTGCAAAGGAGCAGAAAAAATAGCAGCAGTATTAGGTGGCTTCAAGCTGTCAGGTAGGGGCCTTAGAGCTACTGAGAGTTACCAGCCTGTGCTAGGGAGGATCAAGCCAGCATCACTGAGGGGCTGGCTTATAGTGCACACATGGCTTGCCCCACAGCAGACACAATTGGGGAGATCAGGAGTGGACCTTGTTTTTGATGTCCACGAAGTCATCTGATGTGTAGGACTGAGTCGATCTGCTGTGGTATCCACTATGGATTTAGGCTCTACAGGGCATGTCCTAACTCAGGAGGCTTCTGTGGGCCATCTGATCTGCTCAGGTTTATAGGTTATCTTCTTCTTCTTCTTTTTTTTTTTTAAATTCTTTTATATTTTAATTAGAAAGAAAATTATTTTACATGTCAATCCCAGGTCCCTTTCCCTCTCCTCCTCCCTTGCCCTATAGGTTATCTTCTAAGGTATGTTGGGAGGGGGCTGGGATTGATTCTTATGGTTCTTGAACTTTAGTGAGTGGGCTAGTATTCATGTTGTAAGACATTTCATGGCTTTTTTTTTGTTGTTGTTGTTGTTTTGTTTTGATGGAACCCAGGGTCTCAAGTATTCTAGGCAGGTTCTACCACTGAACCATATCCCCTAGGTTCTTTATTGGAATTTTAGGCATATCCCGTGCCTCTTAGCCATCCCCCCCAAAAGTTTTTTTTTTTTTTTGAGACAGGGTTTCTCTGTGTAGCTTTGGAGCCTCTGGCCCGCCCTCTGGAGACCAGGCTGGCTTTGAACTCACAAAGATCCGCCTGTCTCTGCCTCCTGAGTGCTGGGATTAAAGGCATGCACCACCAATGCTCCGCCCCAAAAAGGTTATTTAAAGTATACTTCACACATGTCTAACATGTAGTTTGACAGTTATCATTGTAGTCCAGTACAAAATCAAACTTGAAATATTGAGATACCTGTTTCTTTTGTGAACTTCATGTATAACAACTGTGTGTGACAAAGTAGAAACACTGAATATATGGAGATTTTAGAGCCTTTGGCTGGCTCAGCCCAAGCCCCTTCCCTTACCCTTTTAAGGCTTCAAATAGGAAAAGACTGGATGACTGGTAACCCGGCAATGGGGACCTACCGAGGTTGTTGTCCGTCAGCACCTCTTTGACCCTCTTGGTTATGCCGTAGGTGTCCAGCTCGGGAGACATGGCTACTAATTCTTGGATGCTGAGGGCTGAGTGTCCAGAGAGAGGCAGCGGTGTTGTGGGTTGGGAGTCTGAGGCAGGTGGGTCGCTGGTTTCTGGTGGTTTGCCTTCTTTACTGGTCTCAATGGCAGGACAGGGCTGCTGGACCAGCTCGGTAAGACTCTTCACAGATTCACTGGAACTCATTGGGGACTCAGGGGCAGGGCTGCAGCTAGCAGAGGTCTTTGGAGTGCTTTCTAGAAATAAACACAGCAAGAATGGCTGCTGAAAACAGTCATCTTTCACCACGTACACTGACTTTGCTTCCATAGGAAGTGTTAATTAAATCCCCTATTCTAGAAGGGTAACGTGTGGTAGTCCTCAGGACTGTCTGTTATTTCATAGTTTTTTTCATTAAGTGTAACCTCTAATTTTCTGCATTAAAGGAATAAAAATAATACCAACGAGGACAAAAAAAAAAAAAAAACCCAACTAAAGGTTCAAATAAAAGGTTTCTGAAGGCTTAATATCAGGGCATTTTTTTGCTAAAAAATATGTCATTATGACTACTAAGATTTGTCCTTAATCAAACTCCATGGTTCTGGTAATTCAGAGGGACTGAGGGTAGAATCTAATATATGTGATTATTTCTTCTATATTTTCTAGAACAAAAAATATGGACAGGAGGTGGAGAGATAGCTCAGAAGGGGATGAGCTTGCCTTGCAAGCATGGGGATCTAAGCTCTATCCTTAGAACCCATGTTAAAAAGCCAGGCATGGTAGTGCATAGTTGTAATCCCAGTACTTCAGAGGCAGAGTCAGGCTGACCCTTAAGGCTCACTGGTCAGTAATCTTCTTGAACTTAGTGAACTTTGGGCTAGTGAGAGACTGTCTCAAAAAACAAGGTGGATGGTGCCTATGGACTGAGAACCAAAGGTGTCTTCTGCTTTCTACATGCATACACAAGTATGGGCAGATCATTTTAGGTGAGGGTTGCTTAAGAGGCTAGATGGTCAGTCATATGGTTGGTTACAAACACTCTTGAGCCCAGTGCTTCAGCTGTTGGTCTCTATGGTGTTCCAAGGAGACTTGTCTTGATTCACATTGCTTTTTTGTGAGACTACCAGAGGTGCTGAGGTTAGTGGAAGAAGATGGGTACCAAAGACGGGTGGCATGCCTGCTCTGCACCACCCCAGAGGCTTGGGGGGTCCTGCTTATTCTAGAAAGCCATGCTCTTTGCTCATCTAGACCATACAGTGAATGACACCAGAAAGGACTGGTGTGAAGACCATCGGGCATCACACACTCCTTGCTTTAGAACAGTCTGTGCCTTGCAGGGTCACTGATGGTGCCCAGTGGGAAGTGCTACACCTGCCTTCTGGTGAGTGTGATGGTTAATATGGCCATTGTGAGAGGATGCAGAATCACTGAAGGGACCAGCCTCAGACATGCCTGTGACGGGGTTTCTAGGCTGAGAAATTGCTGTGGGAAGAACCACTCTGCATGTGGACAGCTCCATTCCATGGGCTGTGGTCTTGGACTGAATAGAAAGGAAAAAGTGAGCTGAGCACCAGCATCCATCTTTCTCTGCTTCCTGACTGGAGATACCATGTGACCAGCTGCTCAAGCTCCTGCTGCCCTAACTTCCCTCGCCCTCAGTCTGTGAGCCAGAAGAAGCTTTCCCTCCTTAAGTTGCTTCTGTCAGGCATTTGTCACAGCAACAAGAAGACTAATACAGTGAGCAACTTCCCCCCCCCCCCCTTTAATTATAAAACTTGGCACACTGCCTTGAGCCTGGTTTGGGGGTATCTAGAATAAAGACTGGTCATATCATTTCCAGTGACACAGAGAGCATTGAGAAGGGAAGTGTGAATGACTGCAACCCACAAGACTCAATCTGTCTTTGGCCTGATTTTGTGTTTGGCACACCTTCTCTCCTCATTTCCACTGAGGCTGACATATCCTAGGGCCACGTAGGAGGGGTCAGGCAAGGTGTGGTCACACCAGTGCCCGAGTGATGATAGTCACATTGGAATGTACTTTCTTTCTAAGAAGGGCTGCACTTAACAAAGCTCTAATGTATAGCTCCCCCAATGGCTAATAGATGACTGGCTGGTGATGTTGGCCAGAGTCCAAAGGCAGGGCCTCCCTGTCTTCTCTTGTTTGCTGCTGCTTCAAGTTGTAACAAATCCCCGAGTAACATTGTCAGCACAGCTGCAGGTAGCCCAAAATACTGTTGCCTGAGGTTGGGGTGTGGTATAGTGGCGAAGCACCTGCTGCTGAGCATTTTAGTGCCTTGAATTACATTTATGGCTATGCAAATAAAACAAAACAACAACAACAACAACAACAAAAAACCCCACCAATAAATAACCAGATACAGGAACAAAAAAGAAAACACTGTTATCTGACTAAAATGTAATAAAGAACAAAAAAGAAAACTGTTATTTGACTAAAGCATAATAACAGGGAAGACTATTTTCAGCTATTTTGTGTGGTACGTGTATGTGTATGTGCAGATGGCCAGAGAAGGATGTCGGATGTCCTGCTCTTTTACCCTTTACCGTATTCCCTTGAGACAGGGTTTTTCATGGGACCTGGAACTAGGCTAGATTAACACCTGGCTTTTTACGTGGGTGCTTGAACTCAGGTCCTCACCCTTATGTAGCCAATGCTTTTACCACTAAGCCATCTCCCCATAGAATTTTTTTTCTTAGATATTTGGAATAACTTACTCTCCTGTATCCAGGAAGTGGGATATACATTAAAAACACAACATATTTTATATTAGTGCCTAGGAAGAACAAAACCTGAAATGGAACCACAGTGAATCCAATAAGCCTGGGTAATGCCCTCAATTGGTACAAAGTCCCACTATCTCATAAAGTTGTGTGCTCAGCATGGAAAAAAAAAGTTTAAGAAAACAACTGAACTGCTTTGTGAGACATGTAAAAGAGATGAGTGTAGGGGCAGAAGTGGCCTAAACCCATCTATAAGGCAGTATGAATCCTGTAAATCAGATTTCTTCTCTCCACTCACCCTTGGACCACCAGACAACAGGGTCTAAAACATAGCAAATGTTGGTGTGTCGGAAGCAGCAAAGGAATTGCACTGTAAATTCACCCTGATTCACCCAAGCGAGGGGGCCCATTTGGCAGATCATCCATCTTATTCACTGACTACTGTCAAGAATAGCATGCGTTCCAAGCATGATAAACAGATTTCTCCTAGGTTTGTGTCCTTTAACCCACAGCAAGGTCAAAACCATGGCTGCCTGTGCCAAATAGACAGCACAGGGCTGGTGGCTGTCTGGGAGGCAGGGTTCGCAAGTAACTCCAGCTGCCTGCTAGTCCTTCTTGCAGCTGTGCTCTCAACAGCCTCCTGCATGCATGCGGGCTATTCATGGCCTGCAAATCCTAACAGGTGTACACTTAATATGCATCAATAATGTCCCTTTGCACTTCCCACTGTAGACAAAGGGAAATCTCTACTGAAGAAGTGACACACTGTTGCAAGTTGCTGAGGCTGGCTAGTGTCTGGGTGTACTTGGCCAGAGGGGCTTGTTCACAGAGACACTTATGTGTTGTAGTCTCAGGTCACAGAAAGCTGAACAGCCCTGCTTTAATGTGTTGCTGTTGCTTAAAAAAAAAAAAAAAAAGTCTCATGCAGCCTAAGCTGGCCTTGAACTTACTACCTATCTGGAAATTACAGATATGCCCCACTGCTTTATTCAGTGCCAGGGACTGAATTGAGGGCTGTGTCCTTGTAAGAACTGGGAGCAGGAAGCTGGAAGGTGGAATGGAGATGCAGGTTCAAAACCAACTTAGGAGAGAGCCTGGAGGGTTCAAAGATATGTAGTAGGAAGATCTGGAGTGAAGTCTGGAGTCCCTTGCATTCAGAGGGGACATGCTGCTGCAGGGGTGCTGTGGGGCGAAGTGGGCACACGCCTTCCCCTCCCCTGAGCTTAAGTGTGGTAGTGGCCATCTTCAATCCGTACTAGGGAGGCTGACATGGGAGGAGCTTGAATTTCCGGCCTTCAGGGACTATATATGGAGAATCTATTTTAAAGTACCCTGGAATGAAAATCAGGGCAGGAGATGGCTCAGTTGGTACAGTGCCTGCCATCAAAGTATGAAGACCTCACACCATTTCCCGAGAAGGCATGTTTAGGGCCAGTAAGATGGCTTTTTTTAGCAGGTGAAAGCACTTGCCATCAGGCTTGATGACCTGTGTTTGATCCCTGGGATCCAGGAAGGAGAGGACTGGTACCTGAGAATTATTTTTTGACCTCTACATGCACAATGTGACACACACATCAGACACATGAAAACAAATAAATATAAAACAAATTAGGAGAACAACCCTCCAAACCTCACATAAACAAACAAATACCAAAAGGCTAAGTGCCGTGGTAGGTACTTGTAACATCAGGCCTAGGGAAGGGGACACAGCAGATTCCTTGGGCTCCCAGGCCAGCCAAGCCTAGCTGAACTTACAAGCTCCATCTTCAGTGAGAAACCCTGTCTCAAAAAATAGGGTGTAGAGGGACAGAGCAAGACTTGTCACTGACCTCTGGTCTCCACATGTACCATGTGCATGCAAACCCCATATGAACATGCACATGTGGGCACATGCATAGAATTGACCAAAAAAGAAAAGCTACTCTGTGATTATTTGTCATACCAGTCACCACGGAAGTGACACGGACCAGGCTTACTGTGTACAGGGGCCAGGTGACACTTACGGAAAGGAATTTATGTACTCAATCCTCATGACCACCTTCCAATGCACAGCAAAGGTGACCTGGACACACTCAGATGTCTCATCCTACAGAGCCACCTGCACACCTGCACAGTTGCTCGGTGTTCACCCTGTGGTGAGTGTCTGCACAGGTCCATCTTTCTGGACAGTGATTCTACAACATACGTGTGTTAGCAGCAGGGATCTCAAACATGGTGACAAGTCACTAGAAGTCAGTCATGGCAAGGGTCAGGGAAGGGGCTCAGGGCACACTTTTTTTTTTTTAACCTCATATGCATGAGGCTGTGTGCTGGGAACCTTGGCCAGAGTCTTGCTCCAATCTCCTAATAACCCTAGTTGGACACATGCCCACACTCCAGGCTGGAGAACCAGCTGGCTCCATCTGGTCAGATATCCTTGGATGGAACAAGGATGGGAGCCAGAGCAAGATGGAAAAACTGTGTTTCTACCTATAATGTCGTCTGTCAACCTGACAACCTCTCTGCCCTATCCACCC